CTAGATAATATTAACTGAGAGAGATGATAGCTAGATTAAATATACAGCAATGTTGCCAAATTTAAATGCAACTAAATTAATTTTGTTATAGTTTCTGAAAATCTTAATATTTCGGATTTTTGTGAAAGTGACCAATCACTAGTGACCGGCTAACAACTGTACCCATTACCCTACTATACAAACAATAATTATTACGCCTTATCGTATTTAGACCTTTTTTTTCAATCGGAACTCTACGAGAGATGGACTGTGTTACGTGGTTACTCGTAGGACCAATATGGACAAACAAAAAGAATAAAACTGAGGTTCAAAGGGTTCCAGAGGCTGCAAAGCCACGGAACTTTAAAGCCAAACTATACTGCGTAAAGCCGAAGAGCAAGAAACTTTAAAATAAAATCCAAACGCCGAAAGGCCAGGAAGTTCTAAAGAAACCTCTTTTGCTAAAAGGCAGGGAACCACACAGTCTGTCAGAGTAATACGTCTGTTGAAAAACATTGATCTTATGACAGACGAAGAGCTTAAGGCTGCAAGGCTATCTGGCATCTCTAAAGCCAAAATTACTAAGCTGGTGACACAAGGCTTAGATTACAATCAAACCAAAAGAGCAGAAATAAAGGCTAATTTTAGCAAGGTTGCTACAAGGGCAAAAAGTTGTCGTCAAAGCTATTAGAGGCCATGACAAAACAGATACAAACTCAGAAGGCCGAAGGTCCAGAAAGGTCAAGATCCGATTGAAGCACCCAAAAGCCAATGCAAAGTGAAAAGGCCAATAACCGAGGATGTGACTTTCAGAGAAGCTGGCGCTTCTGTTAAGATTGCGGCAGTACTAACAGGGTTCCCAGAAGCCAAGTTAAATGTAGAAAATCTGAAGGTAGTCCAAAAAGCCATCTTGGTGGCTTATGATGAAATTCCTGAATCAGAATCTTAGATTAACTTTTTGAAGATTAGCCACAGACCAGGCTTCCTAAAACTTAACTGTGAGAATGACAAAAGTGTGAGGTGGCTAAAGAAGCTGATTCCAATCCTTAGGTGGTGACAGAATAAATCTCTTAAGGCTTTGAAGTGGGATATATTCCCAAACCGCACTCATATACTGTATAGCGTCTTAAGTCCAAAAGTAATCATGGGCTCAGTACCCATCTATTCACAGTCTAGGGAAACAAACCTCTAGACAAAGGGGTTTTATGGACCTTTTCAGTAGATTTTGAATCTCGAGAAAAGCTCTATAAACTCAAAATGTAACCCTTTGTCGGAGTATGAAAGTAAACTTTGTAATATAAGGAATGGGAGACAAAAATACTGGAAAAAAAGCAACTCACACCATTGTAACAGGGAAAACTTTTCTACATATAGAAAGAGGAACAAGCTCCTTTAGGTGACACTAGTCCACAGAAAAACAAGGAAAGTCTACGGAAAAGTACAACTTTTCGCAGTGAGAAATAAAGCTCTTGCAGGCCAAACTTTAACACGCAAAAGCCGCATCTGCCATGTTGGTTAGAATAGTAGAAGAAAAAGGTATTAATATTGCCCACCCTCCTATAGTAGCCCTGGAGAATAGGAGAGAAGTTACGGGCCTAGCAACAAAACTAGCTAAGGTTTTATAAAAACCTAAAGCTATAAGGCCAAGGTTGTGCATAATTCACAGTACTAGAGTATATTGTATAATAATCTCGGGGCTCTACAGCGATGATATGGTTACAGATATTCTACCTATAAACATGTAAGTAGGAGAGATGAACCTGAGGGTATGTTAAGCCTACTTTCCGGGGAATAAAGCTTTAGATGTACCAAGTATTCAAAGCGATATAGTTGCATATTTTTTATTTGTGCATAGCATAAACATTAACGCAAGTCTATTTTATCTGAAGGTTTAACCCAATAAAGGATAAATAGTGGATTAAATTCCAAAGCCAGTTTAGCATGGAGGGTCGTACCGGAAATATGAGATAAGAGACAAACTGGTACAAGATAATCCTCATAATAATACACATATCCTCATAGTAATATACATACCAACGTGGTAAATCTACGAACTCAGCGTTGAATCATCTAAGTAGGCTTATATCAAAATCAATAGATTTTGATATTGTTTTTAGATATTAAAGGAAAATTTAATAATGTTACCGCTAACCCTTTGGTTAAGGCAATGAGTAGACAAGGCATATCTGCAGTAATATGCAGACGGAAAAGGGCATAAGAATACAATAGTAATATCCACTCTGGGTGAACCAACCTTCAAAGCCAGAGCAGGTAGAGGCTGTCCACTAGGTGGGGTTGTATAACACAAAAAAGAGCTGCATAACAAGGCCTAAAACCACCGGTGATGGACGGAACAGAGATTTCATTTGCTAAAAAAACAAAGTAACTAGGGATGTATTTCGATCATAAGCTTACTTGAAACATTCACATACAGAGAACCCCACAGAAAGCTACTATGGTCTTAGGGAGATGAAGAAGTGTGTGTGGTAAGATTTGAGAGCTCAACCCTAAAATGACTCTATTGTTAAACACAAGTGTTATTAGACCAATGATACTCTATAAGTCTGTGGCGTGGTGAACAAAGACGCAGCAGGGAGGAACAATAAGGCTGCTAAAAATACACTAAAAGCAGATATCGTAATAGGGTCTGAGCACTATGACACGAGGGTGATGAAATAGCCAAAAAAAAGATCATTACAGCGATTCATTGGACCCGAAACCTTCTGCAGCATTGCAAAGGCAGTAACAAGACCGGATATTACAAAGTGAGTAAAACATAAATCTCTATAATGGTGGAGGAATTCACCATGACAAAGGCAGGCGAAACAGGTCATTATAGATAGAGCATTCGCTAAGATTTACAGTAGACCTAATAATCAAAGACATAGTAGGTCAGTTAATGGGGAACTGTAAGCTAAATAGGTAGTTGAACTTAATGTGCTTGGCAGATGATGATCCATGCCGATCCTGTCACCTAGAGAAAGAAGCAGCACAGCATATTTTGTGTCAGTGCGACAGTCTAGCAAATGTGCGATTCTTTACATAGGCGAAGACAAGCCAACGGCCAAAAGCTACATGGAAGGTTCAGTCTCGAGGCTATCAGACCTTTTAAGAAATATAATCTATTCTTCTCTCTCTTTCTCTATCTCTCTCTCCCTCTCTTTAGTCTTGATCCCCTAAATGGAGTGTAGTGGTCATCGTGAGGTCGTGTATTGTCCGTCTTCAAATAAGAATCTAGGAATAGAGGAAAGCAATAGATCAAAAGGTTGTAGTGAAATAGGCCAAAATCCACTTTATTGAATCTATCTATATATCTAATATATTATTGTAAGATATGTTAAAATTTAGATGTGTTAACATTATTCCATCATTATAAAAAAGAAATAAAAAAAAACAATTATAGTAAAGAAATAATTTATTCAAAAGCTATTTACATCCTTTACATTCATTATAGACCTAAATAATCAAGTAACAAATCATAATTATAATCCGACATGATCCAATCATAATACACTAGTTTGAGCACGATGTCAAATACCAACTCGTTTCCAACAAGTACATCTGATATTTTTCAGCGTTTTAACTATATGTCCATTGAAAAGTTTCATTGAGATTACATTTTTGAGAGGAAGCACTTTTTTGATGTGTGGCCTGTGTGGGAGTGGTTAGTATAAGCTCAAGTTCAAGTCTGTGGTATCGCCATGACTTTGACCCCAGCCGCCATCTTGGAAAAGGAGTGCAAAGGGTTTTCTCGTCCACAAGCAATCATATAGAAGATTTTATACAACATTATTTATAGTTAATTAATTTTTCTACAACTTTATTTTTATTATTTTTAACTGCAAAATTAAAAGCGAACAAGTTAAAAACTAAAATAACTAAACACTTTCGAACAAATTTACTTTTGGGCCTTATACTCGCCATCTTGGTATAAGAAGCTGAAAGAGTTTTCACGCTGTATCTCATAAACTAGCAACACTACAAAAAAAATTATACAATATTATTTGTATCAAATTATATTGTCTACAACTTTATTCCAATTACTTTTAATCGTAAAATGGAAAATAAAAATACAATTATTATACATGAAACAAAAATAAATAAAAACAAATTTTGTTTTGGGTTATAATTTTATTTTTTTGGCTTATAATTTCTTTTCTGGTCAATAAAGACATCCGAGTGATATTATAGAGCGTTTTTACCTAATAATTTGTAATATAAACTAAGTCTAATGTTTCGTTTTTATCGTATTCTTACGAGTAATCGAGAATCCGATCAACTTTGGAGCTCTGTAAAATCCAGAAAAAATAATGAGATTATATAAATTTTTAGTGAAAATTATTCATTGCAAAACACTCCATAATATTGCTCTGGCAGTATTTTATTGTTAAATAAAAAGAAAAAAAGTTAAGACCGAAAAGAAAATTAGTTAAAATTTTTTAGTTATTTTTGTTAATAACTATTTTATTTTTCGTTTTACCGCAAAAAGTAATACGAAAAAATTTATAGACAATTTAATTTGCCACAAAAAATGTCATAAAATTTTGTATAATGCTACTAGTTTACGAGATATAACGCGAAAACCCTTTGCATCACGTATTCCAAGATGGCGAGTATTCAAGAACCCGGCCAACTTCAAAGCGCTGTAGATTCCAAAGAAACTAATAAAATTAAACAAATTTTTAAAGAAAATTATTCTATAAAAAACTCTATAATCTTTATAGGATATTGTTTTGATGTTATTTTATTGTAAAATTACCAAAAAAATAGTTATAAGGCCAAAATAAAATTTTGTTCCAAAATTTTTTTTTGTTTATAACTTTTTATTTTTCATTTTACGATTAAAGGTAATACAAATAAAGTTATATAGAATTTTATTGGCTACAAATAGTGTTTAATAAAAATTTTTTAGGGTTACTAGTTTATGAGATACAGCGTGAAATCATTTCCTACTTTTTCCAAGATGGCGACTGTGGGGACAATTGTGGCGACCTCACGTACTTAAACTTAAGCTTATACTTACCATTCCAACACATCAAAAAATAAAATTGCGTCCTCTAAGAAAGGCGCGCGAAGGTATAAAAAGTTTTACGTTTTAATAGACTACAAATACGTTCGAAATTTGGAAAAAATGTTCAATTAGTTATGATTTTCTAATTTAGAAATTAGTAATTTGTCGAACAGGTCAATATTGTTCTTGCCTGTTATTTCGAAACTGAAAAATAACTCATCAAAAAATTAAAACTGAAAGTAGAAAAAAAGGATTTACAGCCATCACATCAATTTTATTTCCTAAACTCTATTTTTCACAATAGACTGAGTGTACGAAATAAACAATATAACAGATAACATACTAAAAAGAAGAAAATCTGTTCTAAAGTATTATCAAAAAAATGTATTAAATTATATCATACATCCCACTAAATATATTTCAAGATTTATTGACATTAGGTCTACCGAAAGCTTAAAAATATTAGCGCGATAGTACCACAGGGAGGTGTCCTAGTCCTATATATTTTTGAGCAATTAAATAGCTTTGATTATATGATCAATAAGATAATTGTTGTGGTAAGTATGAATATATTATAATTATATTACATATTTGTGGTAGGTATACTTTTTAAACTTTGAATATTTTTACTTGTCAAAGCATATTCTGCTACAATTTATTAAGAATATCAATAAACATAAATATCCATTTCTATATGTACAGGGAAAGGAAAGAGTTTATTACTGCTTTCACAATTTTACTTAGTGTCCCGTGCTTCCTAATACACCAAAGATAATAGTTTAGAACACACACTGAGAGCTGTACTGCAAACACAAAAACTCAGAATGGCTTTTAATCCATTGTGCAAGATGAAGAGCCTGAAAACAAAGTTAAATTAGGTATCATCGAAATATATTTAAGTGAAAACTATAAATATTTAAAAAACTTTCCTATTTTTGTACTAGAGCCGTATTGTTCTGTAACTTTTTTATTCTATGGCATTCCTGTGTTCGTTAAATATATCTTAAGAATAAACTTAAAAATTGGTAATATATGCTTTCGACTTTTAAACTTCCAGAATTTCGTAAGTACATCAAATGCCATTACTATTAAAAAAAATCAGCTAACAATATGAAGGAGTCAATGAAATCATTACTACTTTACAAACCGTTCAAGGATTTTACACTTGACAATTATCCCTCAAACCACTTGATTTAAGAGTTTTAACGATCCACGTAAACATCTAACTACCCTAAACTAACTATCTCAACACATACGTAATAGCCATATTATTTATTTAAAACAAAATTAAAAGGTAAAATTGAAAAGAGGAATTGAAAGGAAGGAAATCTAATGGCCAAATAACATTCGCGATTAGACAGGAGTACGCAGTTGAAAACTGCAAGATATAGGTATAGAAAATACTAATACAGATCGATTGTAAAAAACTTATTTTTTAAATAGAAAAAGAATAGGGTGAAAATTATTTAGGATGCCAGTTTAATGCCAATTTTGACAGCACCCTGTATAATGAAAAAGGTTACTTTACATTGTAAACGATAATAATGAATGCGGTTAATGGGTTTTTAAAGAATTTAAACTGTTTTTCACATTACATTAGAGGATATTAAACTGTGGGTATATACATGGTAGAAAATTATAATTTTCATATAGAAACCATTATAACTAAAAAACCGTTCAGAATACGAATAGGGAAGTATCCACTATTCATCAACAATTTACCCATATAAATCACTATCATTTTTGTTAATAATTACGATATTTAACTTCATCTTTTCTTACTAGAGGTCTCTAGTAGCATACTCTGGTAATTATTTTCCTATAATTGCCTTAGTAGTCGGTGCGTTTTGGTTTGGTTTGAGTCTTCTTACAAAGAGTCTTTTGATGATGGGAAGACCCAGAAACACGTGTAAGAGAATGGTAAAAGACTTGCATTAAATCGAAACGCAGTCGTCATTTATTTTGTTATTGTCTTTACTCGACGCAATGAGTACAAAAATGATAGTAATTTATATAGGTAAATTGTTGATGCATAGTGGAATATAAATATTCTCAGCATCGCTCTGAATTGCTTAATTAAGCTTGGGTAAACAGTTTACTTTAATTGATATCGATAATTAACTTCATCTCTCCTCACTAGAGGTCTCTAGTAGCATACTCTGGTAATTATTTTCCTATAATTGCCTTCGTATTCAGTGCGTTTTGGTTTGGATTGGGTCTTCTTATAAACTTGATGACGAGTAGACCCAAAAACACGTGTAAGAGAATGGAAAGAGACTCAAATTAAATCGAAACGCAACCGTCATTTATTTTGATATATATATATATATATATATATATATATATATATATATATATATATATAATATATATATATATATATTAGCTAATTAATTAATTAATTAAACTTATTTAAATGATGCAATTATGATTCTATCACACTATTTAATTTTCTTATCTCAGGGTTAAAAACATATATGATACAACATTATATATTGAAATAAAATTCACACTCAGATATCTTCAATAAAAAATATCTCAATTTTATATTGTTCTACGTATTTATTATATATTATTATTAAAATTTTGTTCTACGTACGTGAACCTTCAAAAATTAATGGTATATACAATATACATTAAAATTACAAATTAAAATTGTTATTATTAATCTCCTGATCAAAATATTCCTATCTTTTCTAAAGCAATTGTTAAGAAAAATTTTTGTTAATAAGGAAAAACTGACGAATAGTGAAACTATCTCTCTGATGATGAGTTGTCTAAATCCTTGTTCCTTGTAGCCTACGCTATCTATTTTTAGCAGTCCCCTAGGTAATCAGCAATCTTACAACAAATTGTTTCGTTCCTATCGTCTTTAATGACCTCCTGGAAATTCGCGTATCGTTCAAATGATGCTAGCCTCTTCTCCTCTCGATAAACTGAATCTCCCGTTCTGGCCTAATCAGTGACTCTTGGAATATAAGTAGAAAAATATAACTTACAATATTTTACTGGATCAGATACACTTACTCCACGAAAACACGCAACCATTCACTTCTACTGCTTACTACCTCTGGGCAACCACCAGAGAACAACGACTGTTCGCCTTGCCCCATGGAAAAACAACTTATTATCTTTTTCCTTAAAAAATCTAGCTAAACTCTCATTCCATCATACCTATCCCACTTCTTTCAATCTCCTCCAATCAAAGTTCGTCACACTTATCCCCATCTACCATTTAGATCACAAATAACAATTTCACCTACAATTATAAATTTCCTAAAAACTATCAACATGCTAATCGGTTTCTACAAATTCTTAAGAACTAACGAATAAATATATTTTTTAAATATTTCTATTCTATTGTCTTATTCACTGTATATCGACGTACAAATCTATTTGGAAACCCGCTCGCATTGTTCACGATTTCACTACGCTCACTCACGTCACTCGAATATATTTTACAAAGAAAATAATTTATGCATATCTTTATATTTTGTTTACTACACGTAATCCAGGATAATGAACTTTCCTTTCTTTGAAATATCTTTTATTTTCTACTTTGAAATATATTCAAAGCAACTCAATATAATTTTTTATTTTACATATCATAACAATATATATATATATATATATATATATATATATATATATATATATATATATATATATAAATTATGATTTTTGAGGATGCAGTCAGTTTATTTGGCCCACAAGACAAAGAAAACTCTTTGACTTATTGTCAAGCTTTCGAATTTTATTTAATTCTTTTTCAAGACATCTATAAAAAGAAATATAAATTAACTAGTTAAAATTGTTAATTGTCTTACTTACTAGTCGTGAGATTACAGTTGTTACTATTATTATACTTTACAAAACAAACCATTATAAATATATTAAAAAAATTTTTTTATTATTAAAAATAACTATATTGTCACTATATATGTCATTGTCATGGTTTGATTAATGGACATTATGAATGAAAATACAGTTACTTTATGTGGAAAGCAAAACCAGTAACAATAGTTTTTATTATAATTTATTTAATTGTCTATAAAAAATATAAATTAATCCAGTCAGCAGTTTGGCTTAAGCACATATGAATTTTTAATGTTAGGATGTCAATAGAAAATGAGATCTTGACGGTATTTATTGATATGTTAATATGTAACAAGAAATGTTACTTAATTTGTCAATATCTGATCTTCTATTTACACATTTTTTATTTTTTTTTGTATATGTGTCATTTCTAAAAATAACCGTTTCTGTTCATGTTTCTGCCTCTCTAGAATTGAAGCTTGTGAAAAATTAAATGTGTGATTTAGATTAATGGAGTGTTCAGCTAATGCACAAGCTTGTGATTTCTTGGTTTTTACATCACTTTTATGAGAAATGATTCTGCTGTGTAATGTTCAAGAAGTTTCTCCTATATAAACTTTATCACAGTCTGAGCAAGGTATTTGATACACTACTCTAGAAAACCAATTTCTAGCAATAGATTCATTAATTACTATTCCGAACATCCTACAAAAATGAAAATAAACTTAATTTTGGGGCTAAAAAGTAGAGTAACTAGAATAACTCATCCAACATATAGAGAACAAAGTTTAAAGAGACTAAAAAACATACTAATTGAAAATTCTTATCCCGTTGGCTTACTCAATAAATTAATTTTTAGTACTGCAAACTCTCCAACCTCCATCACATTGATCGACAATACCAACAATAAAAAACAAATCACAGTAAAAATGGCAAATCGAGAAATAAACAATAGCCTGACAGTTAACACCTTAATACCAATAACAGCACAAACTTTTGGATCTTTACCTTATATTCCAAAGCCACCAAACTTCTCAAATTATTTAAAGGATTGGAAAACATAAAAATTGCCACCAGAAATGTTAAAACCATAGCACATTTATACACTAAAACTAAAGATCCTTTAACAACTGATGAAAGTTCTAGAGTAGTGTATCAAATACCTTGCTCAGACTGTGATAAAGTTTATATAGGAGAAACTTCTCGAACATTACACAGCAGAATTATTTCTCATAAAAGTGATGTAAAAACCAAGAAATCACAAGCTTGTGCATTAGCTGAACACTCCATCAATCTAAATCACACATTTAATTTTTCACAAGCTTTAATTCTAGAGAGGCAGAAACATGAACAGAAACGGTTATTTTTAGAAATGACACATATACAAAAAAATAAAAAATGTGTAAATAGAAGATCAGATATTGACAAATTAAGTAACATTTATTGTTACATATTAACATATCAATAAATACCGTCAAGATCTCATTTTCTATTGACATCCTAACATTAAAAATTCATATGTGCTTAAGCCAAACTGCTGACTGGATTAATTTATATTTTTTATAGACAATTAAATAAATTATAATAAAAACTATTGTTACTGGTTTTGCTTTCCACATAAAGTAACTGTATTTTCATTCATATATGTCCATTAATCAAACCATGACAATGACATATATAGTGACAATATAGTTATTTTTAATAATAAAAAAATTTTTTAAATATATTTATAATGGTTTGTTTTGTAAAGTATAATAATAGTAACAACTGTAATCTCACGACTAGTAAGTAAGACAATTAACAATTTTAACTAGTTAATTTATATTTCTTTTTATAGATGTCTTGAAAAAGAATTAAATAAAATTCGAAAGCTTGACAGTAAGTCAAAGAGTTTTCTTTGTCTTGTGGGCCAAATAAACTGACTTCATCCTCAAAAATCATAATATATATTTAAAATCAACAGTCAAGAATACCACCATCTTATATATATATATATATATATATATATATATATATATATATATATATATATATATATATATATATATATATATATATATATATAGATAGGCGAGCAGGTTTTCCAAGTAGATTTGTACGTGGATATACAGTGAATAAGACAATATAATGGAAATATTTAAAAAATATAATTAGTCGTTAGTTCTTAAGAATTTGTAGAAAGCGATTAGCATATTAATAGTTTTTAGAAAATTTATAATTGTAGGTAAAATTATTGTTTGTTATCGAAATGGTAGATGGGGATAAGTGTGATGAACTCTGATTGGAGAAGATTGAAAAAAGTGAGATAGGTTTGTAGGAATGAGAGTTTAGCTAGATTTTTGAGGGAAAAAAGATAATCAGTTGTTTTTCCAAGGGTACAAGGCGAACAGTTGTTGTTCTCTGGTGGTTGCCCAGAGGTAGTAAGCAGTAGAAGTGAATGTTTGTGAGTTTTCGTGGAGTAAGTGTATCTGACAGAAGCTGATCCAGTAAAATATTGTAAGTTATATTTTTCTACTTATATTCCAAGAGTCACTGATTAGGCCAGAACGGAAGATTCAGCTTATCAAGAGGAGAAGAGGCTAGCATCACTTGAACGATACGTGCATTTGAAGATCATTAAAGACGATAGGGTCGCAACAATTTGTTGTTAGATTCCTGATTACATAGGGGACTGCTAAAAATAGATAGTGTAGGCTACAAGAAACAAGGATTTATACAACTCGTCATCAGAGAGATAGTTTTACTATTTGTCAGTTTTTCTTTATTCACGACACATTTTTTTAACAATTGCTTTTGAAAAGATAGGAATATTTTGATCAGAAGATACAGAACAACAATTTTGATTTTAAATTTTAATTTATATTGTATATACCATTAATTTTTGAAGGTTGACGTACGTAGAACAAACTTTTGATAATCATTATATGAGATATTTTTTATTGAAGTATTTGAATTGAATTTTATTTTCACGGCATTGAACACTGGGTGGTTGAAGAAGCTCTGGTCAATAGTAGAATAGGTTCAAGATACCGACAGTTGATACATGATATTTACCAAAACGCAACCATGACCGTAATTCTGGACGACAAATTAATAACGGATAATATAAAAGTTTTTTTATTAAAGTTTTTTTGATTAGCAATGTGTTTTGGGAAAGACCAAATGGTAAAAGATCGACAAGAAGGCCTAGAAAAAGGTGGAAAGACGCAGTCAGGGAAGACCTGGAGAAGATGGAAGTAAGGCCATGGGAAATAATAGCACAGGATCGGAATCAATGGAAGGCAATAGTAAACGCGGCAAAAACTCACGAAGTGTTGTAAAAGCCAATGATGATAATGAATATAAAAGTTAAACGAGGAGTCCGACAAGGCGATAAAATTTCACCTAAACTGTTTACCTTGACCCTTGAAGACATAATAAAATCAACAGATTGGGAAAACAGAGGAATATGTATTAACGGAAAATACCTTAATCACCTAAGATATGCGGATGATATACTCCTGATCTCCTCGGAACGAGAAAAACTGGAATTAATGCTGAATGAACTTCATGAAAAATCACTGCAAAAAGGCCTAAAAATTAACTTCAACAAAAAAAAGTAATGACAAACGCGGAAGACCAAGAGGCAATAAAAATACAAACAGAAAAAATAGAACAGGTAAATGAGTATATTTATCTAGGACAAGCAATCAGAGCTAACAGAGAAAATCAAACAGCCGAAATATCGAGACGAGTAAGAATGGGATGGGCAGCGTTCGGCAAACTTTCTTACGTTCTAAACAATCAAACAATCCCTCTCTACTTACGAAGCAAGGTATATAACTCCTGTATAATACCGGTACTCACCTACGGAGCACAGACATGGACATTTACACGAGCCAATTTGGATAGGATAAGGAAGGCACAAAGAGCGATGGAGAGACAAATGTTGGGTATATCACTTAAAGATAAAAAACGTAACCAGTGGATCAGAACCAAAACAAAGACAGTAGACGCGACAGAACAAGCAGCAAAACTGAAATGGAGATGGGCTGGACACAATGAACGTCTCCAAGACGGACGATGGAACAATTCCATCGGAAAGTGGCGTCCATACAATGCAAAGAGATCAAGAGGCAGACCACAGACCACAGGCAGTGGACTTTGAGTTCTGTTACAGTATGAGGATCGGCAACCCATACTGCCTTCAATATCCTTTACCAACCTTAACCACCTTTTGATTATTTGACATATTTATGTCAAATCATGTTTTTGAAATTTTTTGTTTTATAATTATGTGTTATATTGTTTTTCATGGTAATATAGCTAGCGAACTATTACAATCTCAATATTTCAATCTCAAGTAGTTTTACGAATAAAATATCATAAAACTAATTATAATATATTTTAGTTTTCTTGAAAAAAAAAACTAAACAGTTTCGAAAGTAAAACTTTCAGTAAAAGCGTCTACCTCTATTAGTGTTTTAGTCAGTAGGCCTTTTGAGAGAAACCTTACAAATCTATGTATAGACAATATAGACATATACATATACACAACCAAACGTATAAGGAAGCACCATGTATTTCAATCTAATACTTGATATTGATCTAAAAATAATAATTTTAAGCTAAACGAAATAGATGGTAGAAAGAGAAAAATGTAATGATGCCAAATGTGACCAATTGTGTTGCAAATTCCTCGACAGAATGCAATAGGATCTGGTTACCCATATTAAAAGAGAAAGTTAATAAAAAAAAATACCACTATAAGTAAGTCAGTAGTAAGTAGTAACATCTCGAGGATACATTATTTATGTTTTTTAAATAACAAAAACAAACATATAAAATCATAATTTGGTGTATATTGAGAGGAAACTAAATGTAACAAGAAATACTTACGATATCAGGATGGTTATGGGGATATGAGGTTTTTTTCCTGTTTTTTTCCCTTATGATTTACTATGAAACCACTAACAGGATAATTTTACTATCATTACATGTGGTTTTCATTTAAAAGACGAATAACATGCTACGATTTTTTTTGACAGATATTCTCAATTTAAAGTTGATTTTATGTAATCGAATGAATTACAATAAAGTCGAACTAGGAATGCAACTCAGCAATATTAACAATATCATTTTAAGATCGTCTGCTTAAAAATATATACCGTATGTCTGAATTGCCAATATAAATGATTCAGATAAAATTAAAATATTAGAAGAATTGTACACCAAGTTACATAAAACGAGAGCGATTGAGAACGATTTCCGAAGTGGAGATTGAAACGTCAACAAACTTATTTTAACCTTCCATTGTGGCTTATTTCCATTAATGTAGTTAATAATCTAATGTTTATTTCTTTTGAAAAAGACTAAACAAGCAAATAAAACAATCAGACAACACTGCCCAGCGTGGAATAAATTATATTTTTTTTTTATTTGTAAATTTAATGAAAATAAATAAAATAACTTTCACTTTCAAAACCGAAAATATGCCTTATCTAGGGTTAATGGATGTGCAAAGGGAAAAGGTTATGGGTCTTGTGGAGCAATAAATGTCTCAGAACTACATAGCTACAGTGGTAGACATAACACAGGGCGTTGTATCAAAAAACTACGCTAGGTATCAAAAACGCTTAAGAAAAGAAAAAAAATCGCCAAAAAGTATAAACGGCTTGCCAAGATCGTTTTATTGTCTAAGTAGCTAGAAGCGACCCAACAATTTCTCACCCGCAACTCCAAAAGCAGCTTTTGGAAGGTATAGGTGTAAGCGTTTCAGTTGAAACAATAAGATGAAGACCTCCTGTTATACAGCAGCAGACAGTTACGGATTCGTAACGGCTATAGAGCATTTGTGGGATCTGATCAAAAAAGAATTAGACAGTTAGTACAAGTTGTTTAGTAATTGCTTTAAAATTATTATTCTTTAACTTAGTAGGTTGGTTTTTTAAATTTACTTAAAATGAAAAGAAATATATATATATATATATATATATATATATATATAATATATATATATATATATATATATATATATATATATATATACTATTCAATATCCAGTCTCCAGCCAGTTGTTGCAGGCTTTCTAATATAATTTGTACAATTATAGATTTTATGTTTTATAAAACTCGAATATAGGGAACACACGCTACAAGATTACATTTATACGTTATTCATTATAAACCATTGCTTTTAAATAACCCTATACAAAAAAATCTAAATCTAAGGGTAATCTGTTATATGAGGTGCTACATCTTGTTACCATATCATAACTCCACTTTCACGTAAACGAATATTCTTTAGTAACAAACGTAGCTGATCGTCTAAGTAAATCATCCAGATGTATCTAACTATTTAAATAATATCCAAAATATATGGACCTAGTAAACTCTCATAAACCAACCCACAACAGACATTAATCCTAAGTTTTTATACAACTGAGAAATGTAGTTAAAGCTTATTATTTATTCATTTGGAAGAGTTTTTAGCTTAATTAATAATATAATACCCTATAAGAAAATATTGTCAAAGACGTAACAACTTCATCTTTAAAAACCTAAGAACAAACTATATTTTTTACATTTTTTAGCTTGCATAAAATTCTGTATAAATCTTAGTATATTTCACTATCACTTAATTTCCTTACCATCTTTGTCTTTTCTTGGCATCTTCAATAGTATTATCCCGTTCATGTAGAAGATACCTTCTAACACCCTTCAAATACGTTCTAAAGAATTGCAACCAATGCACTGTCGTCATGCTAAATTGGAATAGCTCTTTGTCCCTTTCGTCGAGTTTTTTCCATAAATTTCTTATGTTGTTGTTTGAAAATCTCCAACTTCTTGTAGAAAAATAAGATAATATCATACTGAATTTGTGAATCTTCTTATACATTCCAAGCATCCTAGAAAAAATAATACAACATAATACCGATAATTTAAAATGACATTGAAAATAAGCTGGGGAAGGCATGATAACCATTCTGATTCTTAGATATTACATACTACTAATTTTCATTTTAAGACCGTTGAATACGCCAACTTAATTTTATGTCTGGTTTTATTATAGATAAATATTTAGTTTGCACCAGAATGTGGATTTTAATTAGAACAGTTCAGCAGACGCTCAAGGTCTCAAATTCAATGTCATTTGCGTGCCTGACTTAAACCCCCCAAAACCTGACCCCCTTAAAACTTATTCAAAAATGTTTTTCTTTTCAATTTAGCAATAAAATGGATTAAGATACAATATACTTCAGGCATTTTTGTTTCAAATATACCTAGGTGGTCGTAAATAGCTGTCTAAATATTCATACGCTAGGCTTTCACAACACCATGTTTTATTAGAAATTATACAATAATAGAAACGAAACTAATGAACTAATAAACGTTTACAAAAAAAACTTAAAACTTAAAATTATAAAAAAAATAAATTTATCTCAAGTGGTACAATTTAAAACAGGTAATGTGAATTTCAACATTACATTTGCTACAAATAAAAGTTACGCATTTATGGCATCTTGCACAACGTCTGTGTGATTGATTTTTGATCGGCCAATGATCAAGTCTATGATATCGAACTTCATCAAGGTCATTTGAGGTTCTTTGAGGTGTAGGAGTACGAAGATTAGGTGTTGATAATATAGGATTTACTATTTGTCGAATGAAATCTATTTGTTTAATTTTTGGCTCGATATTTCTAAATAATATCCAGGAGTTCACTATCGATGCATTGAGGCAAAATCGGAATATTGGCCAATACCATTTTCGACTTCCAATGTTTATACGATGATGACCACGCCACTGATCAAACAAATCCACACCTCCCATGCCAGTATTGTATTCCTGAATCATTGATGGCTGCAGAACAGCTACCCGTTGTTTATGAATATTACTGTACCGTTTACAAGTTGTTGTTTTGCTGACAAGATCATCGCTTCTATTGGTAGCCAACGTAACTTGGCTATTATCATGCCAACGTATCAAAAATATATTTTTTGACTCATCTCTAAGACCATAAGTAGATCCACGGGGCTCTTTTTTTTAAATCTTTTAACGGTGCATGTTCGATACGATCAGAGCGAATTGTTCCAGTCACTTCCTTCAGGAACACATCCTAAATCCATCCTTTTTGTAACAGAACTGCCTAAAGGCATATTAGTATCTCTTTGGCTTTTTCCCTCATATAGTTCAAACTTAACGCAGTATCCATTAGGAGTATTTAAACACCGAAACTTAAACCCAAATCGAATGGGCTTTCCCCTAATGAATTGTTTGAAATGATGACGACCGTAATAGGGTTCCATCGCCTCATCCAAAGACCATACAGTAGGTAACGGGTTTGCATACAATTGAAACTTTGATGACATATGCTTCAAAAGGTGTCTTACTTTTCTGCATTTATCCTGTGGATCAGTTTCGTTGTTATCACTAAAATGAAGGTATTTAAAAATAACCAGAAACCTATCACATGACATAGCATTTGACACAGCCGGGTTGTAGGTGTCAGCCGATTTCTCCCAATACATTCTTCGATTTGGAAGTTTCACATATCCAGAAAGCAACAAAATAGCCAAAACTTTATAGAACTCTTCAGGAGCAATTGTAAAAGATTTATTTCCATTTTTGTACTTTGCATATTTTTGAGACTCTTCGCAAATTTGTTTAACAAATTCCAATGGCCAGAAAAGCTTAAAAAAATCAATTGGGCGACCACCTGACTCGATCATATCATTTATGATTTGAGGTCGATTTTGATTTTTATTTTTTGTTTTTAAATAAGAATCCTCTGGCAACTCCTCTACAAAATGCAAGGGTTTCCACGAACGTATTGTATTTTCGACTTTCAATTTTTTAGGCTTAGGTATGTTCTTTGCTGATCCTGTTCTCATTTTTGAAGTTGAGTGTTCCAAATTCAATTCGATCCTTTCACGGTCGTGTGTAATTATTTCCACCTGAGAGCACTCTGCTAGTAGACTAGGTTCCAACTTATCAATATTTTTGTATAAAGACTTACCTCCCCTCCCATTTTTGACGGAATTTAGTTGTCACCTCATTTTGATTTGATTTAGAAGCCATATTTTTAACTAAATACACCAAATAACCGGTAAAATGTAAACACCACACGTTGTTTAATTGATATTTGACACAATAAACAGAAACCAGCGCCGTCTTTTCGCTGCAAGGTTAAACAAAAATGGTGTGTTTTGCGTATGAATATTTAGACGGTAAGTTTTGAGGGCTTAATTAGTTCTCCGTTTACCTGTATGCCACAAGCTTTGTCATCTAAAACTTCTTAAAAAAAATTGTCGGGATATACCTAAATTAAAGAGTAATTGTAGTCTTGTAAGCTATAAACAGTGTGCACCAGATCTTAGGGTGGTAACTAACGGCTGTATACCAACCGTCAGCTCTCAACCTAAAATATAACTTGTAAATATTTTGAAAACTATAAACACGTGTTTAATCTTTTAGCGGGTATTTTCTAAGTAATAAAAGTGTTTAACATAATAATTCGATTGTTCTGAAGCTATTTTCTTGTGGCATTGTAAATTAATTACTATTTATAACTGGGAATAAGCCACAATCAAAGATAAAAAATACGTTTATTGACGTTTCAATTTCCAATTCGGAAATCGTTCTCAAAATACAAAACCAATTTTGAGAACGATTTCCGAATTGGAAATTGAAACGTCAATAAACGTATTTTTATCTTTGATTGTGGCTTATTCCCAGTTATAAATAGTAAATAATAATTCGAGTATTATTTCGTTGATATTACAATGATTTGGCGACGAGACAAACTGTATTGAAGTTTGGGTAAAACACAAAATAATGTATTTTTTACGGGAATTCGAGTTTATAATGTACCGTTTTTAAATAAAACGAGTGTTTCGAATTTATATAAATATATTTATTTATAAGTTTACAGTTCGGTACTCTCTTATCAACTTACTAACTAATAAAATCGGTACTTTATTTATATATATATATATATATATATATATATATATATATATAATATATATATATATATATATATATATATATATATATATATATATTATATATATATATATAATATATATATATATATATATACGTATATATATTTATATATATATATATATATATATACATATATATATATATATATATATATATATATATATATATATATATATATATATATATATATATATTATTGTGATATTTAAAGTCTTGGTGCGCCACGCAATTAATTAGCTAATTAATTAATTAATTAATTAAAATTATTTAAATGATATGATTATGACTCTATCACACTTTTTAATTCTCTTATCTCAGGGTTAAATTCGTGCTTCAATATCTATGCTATTACATGTGGAAGGTAAGGTCTAAAGAATACCGGAATAATAAAAAAAAAAACATATAGGATCTAACGTTATATATTGAAATAAAATAATGAAATAAAATTCACACTCAAATGTTTTCGATAAACAAATCTCATATAATGATTCTCAAAATTTTGTTCTACGTACGTGAACCTTCAAAATTAATGGTACAAACAATATTAGTTGAAATATCAAAATCCAAATATTATTTTAAATCTCCTAATCAAAATATTTATATCCTTTCTAAATTAAGTGTAAAAATTGTGTTATCAATGACAGAAAAACTGCAGAAAACAAAACTATCTCTCTCTGATGATGAGTGGTCCAAATCCTTGTTATTTGTAGACTATATTATTTACTCGTGACCGCTCCCTAGGTAATCAGCAATCTTACAACAAATTATTACAAGTATATCGTCGTTAATGATCTCCTTCAAATGCACGAATCGTTTAAATTATGCTAGCTTCTTCTTCTCTCAATAAACTGAATCTCTCGTTGGCCTGAGTGAAAAATGACTCTTGGAATATCTTTTCTTTACGATAAACTGAATCTCTCGTTGGCCTGAACAGTGACTCTTGGAATATAAGTAGAAAAATATTACTTACAATATTTTACTGGATCTGCTTCTGTCAGATACACTAACTACACGAAAACTCACAAACTTTCACTGCTACTGCTTCCTACCTCTGGGAAACTAGCCGAGAACAACGGCCGTTCGCCTTGCACCCTTGGAAACCAACTGATTCTCTCTTCCTTCTCAAAAATCTAGCTAAACTTTCATTCCTACATACCTATCCCACCTTTTTTAATCTCCGCCAATCAAAGCTCGTCACAATTCTCCCATTTTTTCATTTCGATAACAAACAAATTTTTTTATCTATAATTATAAAATTTCCTAAAACTTATTTACAAATAATATTTTTCTACAATTCTTAAAAACTAACAAAAACCTCTTTCTAAAATCTATTCTATTGTCCTTAATTGCTGCATTAATGTAATTGGAAAACCCGGTTCAATTGTCTTTGGATTTCACTTAAAATTATGCGGTTCACTATATTATAACAACAAGTATATTATAACAAAGAAGATAATTTATGCATAGCTTACATTTTGTTTAATACAGGTAATCCAAAAATTTAAAAACTTTCCTTCTTCGAAATGTTTGTTGGTTATTATCCTACTTATCTGAATTATTTTAATGTTTTTGAATTTTGAAATATTTTAATCAAACCAATATTTTTCTCGATTTTACATATCATAACAATATATATATATATATATATAATATATATATATATAATATATATATATATATATATATATATAAATATATATATATATATATATATATATATATATATATGTATATATATAATATATACATATATATATATATATATATATATATATATATATACATATATATATATATATATATATATATATATATATATATATATATACATATATGTATATATAGCAAAAAATACGACCGTTGATTGAATTTAAAAAATATTCAATAGTTGAATAGC